GAAATAACAAAACTAAATTGTTAAATCGGCAATACAATTTGTTTTATTAATAACCCTGTGGGCAAAAAACCATGTTCGTTCTAAAAACGTTTTAAGAACGTTTTTAGAACGTTTTATGTCCACCAGATAATGTTCTGGAACATTATTTGAACATCCATGTTCTTAAAATGTTCCAGAACATTATTTGGCGGACATGAAACATTCTAAGAACGTCCTTAAAACGTTTTTAGAACGAACATGGTTTTTTGCCTACAGGGGAAAGCTTTGATCCGTCTAATATACAATTTGTTCAGTTTCTTCGCCTTCTAAAATAATCGATAGCAGATTTTCGTAGGTCATATCACCAGTTTTATTTGCATTAAAATCTGTTGAACATACAGCTTCTGAATCAAATTCTTTGACCTGAAACCAAAAAATTATTTTGAGTTGAAATTTGTTGTTAAATAATATTTAATAAACATTTTGTATTTGTTAAAGTAAGGTTATGTTCAATAATAACCGAGTATAACTTACCGATAAACGATGAAATTGTCTCTTCATCCATTCACTACAATTCCAATAGATTTCTCACTTTAACCGGATTCATTATTTAACAGCACTTTGTCATTTTTAAAAAAAAACTAATAATAAAAGCAAAAGTGGCATATGTGCCAGAAGCAAACGACGCGACGATCTGCACGCCAGTGTGAAAGAATTCAAGATGACCACGTAACATGGAACAATAAACTTGTCAGCTAAACAAATCCTGATTGTTCCATTAGCAATGGACATCATCAGAGAGTATTGCTTCTGCAACTGTACGGAATTGCAATCTGAACAAAACTGACAACAAAAAATTCGTTTTGTTGTTAAAACAACATACATTTGTATTGTCAACAAAATCCGAATTGTAATCACAGAAAAAACCTGAATTCAAATTGAGTATAGATTCTATACTCAATTTGATTCGCAACAAAAATGAAACTGGTTGTTTCATTTCGAGTTCTAAGGTAAAAGTATCAAAATGAAACAGGCAAGTTTCATTTTGAGAAAAAGAAAAATGGAAAAATATTGTGAAATAACGAATAATTTTGCACAAAAACATGAAATATAATAATTACAAAGAAGTAAATAACACGCTAGACTTAATATATTTGATTAAAAATTGCTTGTAATCGCGTAATAAAATAATAAAGGAAATATGTTTTTAGGTTAGAAAAAGGAAAACATGTGTTTTGACAACAGGAACGGTACTGCCAACTTAAATAATAGCGGTAAATTTAAAAACTTATGAAATTAATTATTATCTACGTAAATAATAATAAATAATTTTTATTTAAAAACTTCTAAATATTCGTACTGGTCAAAATAATCTTTCTGGTGTTGTTGAAATATTAGAAACAATAATTGAAATACAAAATTACTCTGCTTATGATGCCAACTTAGAAATCTGAAATTCCAGCCAATATCATTTTGAATAACATGAAGTTTGTCCCATACTCATTTCGATACCCAAAAGAAAATGAGTAGCAACAAAAATGAGTCCAAGTTTTTTCTGTGATATTAACATTTCGAATTGTAATATCAACAAATCTACTAACAACAATCCAAAAATTGTTTGCACAACAATCCCATTTTTCTCCGTGATATACATAAATGTCAAAAGTTGTGTTAAAGTTTTTTAATTTCTTCATTGAAAAAAATTTTGGTACAGCAGCTGCCCTAAACGAAAAATTTCTATATATTCAATTAACTTCATACTTAATATTTACCATGGATTTTTATATGAGTGAAGTATGAATATAGAAATTTTTCGATTGGGAAACTGCAACAAAATTTTTTTTACTGAAGAAATTGGTAGTTCTATTATTGCGATAGCAAAACTTAAGGAAACTTTGAATAATATTTGACTTCCCCTTTGAGTATTAATATAAATTCTGAAACTATTAAAAATTTCTTTATTGTTTAAAGTAATATATTCTAACTTATTCAAATTATTTTTGGACTGTTTAAATTATAGTAAACTTTTTTTTTATCTGTGGTAAAAAATCTATTTAAAAAATCTTAATTTTTTTTTGGACACTATTAAAAAATAAAAAAGGGACTTTTTTTGCCTGTACAGATTTCCCAGAAAGCTAAATAGAATATGAATATATAACAGAAATGAGAATGCCGGGTAGATTGTATATATATATATATATATATATATAATATATATACGTATAGAGATGTCGCATGCACAGCCGCCCGTAAAATACAGAAGGATTAGCGGTCGCTAATATATGTTTACTTGGAGGGAAAAACGCACAGAGCAGCTGAGATATTCGTTTCTCTTCGTCTCATTCTCTCTTTTCTCTTGACAAGCCTCGTTTTGTCTTTCGCATATATATGTATATATATATACACAAAATTACTTTAAACGGAAAGAAAAGTAATAAATTTGTTAACAACGAACCAACCCCGTCGTTATATTATTCACCATTGTCCCATCATATTACACTTTTTTTTATATCTTTTCCAATCCATAAAATTTACGCGAGTTATTCGTCGATCATATATATGATAAGCCATAAATTCGACAAGCAGATATATATACTATATATATATATTTATTTTATTTTTATAACATATATTTATAATCGTGCAAGGGGAGAAATTTTCGTTTCTAGTTTGTTTTTTTCACACTTTTCATGAATCTGCAATATGGGATCCTGTGGATCCTGTGTTTAGAAATTGTTAATAGAAAACTGCGAATTTCTGCTGCAAATATTAAACCTACTTTGAAATTACATAGAACCTACTTTGAAACTACATAGAACCTACTTTGAAACTTTATTGAACCTTGAACCTACTTTAAAACTATATATTGGACCTATACTTTAAAATTATAATGGATAAAATTTCTGTAATTTTACGCTTTTCAATTCGTTTTTGAACCTTTTCATAATATAGAAAAGTCGTTGTATTAGAATAAATTTTGAATTTATATAAAGTTGATTGTGTAGAAACCTAAGCTTTAATTTAAGTTCAAAAAACTTAAAATATCTTAACGGATTCTTGAGATATCATCAAAAATGTACGACTCAATGTTTTATCTAAAAACAATGTAATTACCAGGCAAAATTACCAAATTACATTATGGTTTTTAGATAAATAGATTTTTGGTAATATCTCAACAAGCCGTTATAATATAACGGCTTGTTATACACGTAATGATCATTACATCATTACATTATCATTATCATTAAATTTTTAATATTATTAAAAATTTCTTTTTTTTGACTTTAATTGAAGCTAAAAAATTATTCTACATTGATTAAACAGAATTTTTGCCAAAAGTAAAAAAAAAAATTAGTAATTTTTATGCCTTTGGCAGAAATATATAGATATTCTATTTAGATTTATAGTATATAGTATATATTTTTCCTAGTGCAATTAACAGCAGCAGTTGGAACACTATTTGAAAATTTAAAGAATGAAAAGTGAATGAAAAAAAAAAATTTGGCGATACTGAAAGAGTGCGTGTGTGTGTGTCATTCCAAAAGCAATGTGAAAAACGACGTTAGACCAACGACGACACAAAACACTAAATCAGACGCGAAGTTATGTGTCGACTAATTGTGAACCACTACTAATACGTCCTTCCTATACTTCTATATATGCCGCCCTCGTGGAAACCAAATATAACTAAACGAAACTTATAAGAGACTCTCGACCGATTAACATCTCAGCCACGCGAGATACGCGATGTGTGGTGTCAAGAACTCTTTCTCTTTCTCTTTCTGTTCCTTATTCTCAAAACCTATATTCACATATTCATATATATATATATATATATATATATATATATAAACGTATGTTTGTATGTATATGTACAATATGTGTCGACGAGCTATACATTTAAGAATTCGTTTTTTCTCCCCGTTGAGCTGCCCGCGAGTTGACTCGTGTGGATAAATAACTGCGGGACCGCGACAAAATTAACTGTACAACGATCGTTGGCATCCTCGAAAATAAACGGATTGATTAATGGGCCCTTTGAATTTTGATAGAAAGCACAGCCTGGCATGACATTTGCAGCAAATTTCTTGACCTAGTTGCAAAATTTCAACATCCTCCAATGATATATACTATATATTATGATATACAGAAAGAAAAAGTTTGTTTTTAAATTATTATTGATGATTGCCTTTTTTTATTATTAAACTGACTGCTGTTTAATATAGTAAATTGAGCCTCTGGATTAAAAAAAACTCGATCCGTTATATTAGTAACAAAAGAATGACTTATAGAGGATTTGTCAGATGCCACACAGATGGAGGTTTTTGATCCAAAAGCTTAATTTATCATCATTCAGTATACTATAAGTAATCTTTTATAACATTCATTCAGTATATTTTTTTTTGTAAATCAAGTATATATTTTTCTGTATATCATGTATATTATCATATGCCTATCATTTAATGCTGTTATCCTTTACCTATCATCGAATAGTATTATCATCATCCTTTTATCATCATCATCATCATCTACTACTGCATATATACCATCAAATAGTATTAGCCCTTAAGGATCATCCTTTAGTATATCATTACTTGCTAACTTCCTTTAATATCATCATCGTCATCATAATCATCATCATCATTATTAGTGTTATTATTATCATTATAATTATTATTATTTAATATCATTATCGTTTAGAATTTACCGACTATTAGCATAACGCTATTTAGAAATTAGTATTACTATTCTTATTCCAATAAGAGTGTTCCTTAATCATTTTTAGAACTATATAAAATAAAATTTTAAGGACGTTTCCTGTTTTAAAAATATTTTCTAAGGAGACATTTTTGAAACTTTATTTGAATATAAAACCATTAGAATCATATTTTTCTAACATTAAATTATAATAGGTATACTGTATTTAAATTTAAATCAGCGATAAGTATACTATTATATAAATGTAAAAATACAATTTGATTTTTGATTATCAATTATAAGAAAATTGAATTATGTTTCAGTTTGGACGCAAAGTGACTTTCGTGACGATTCAAATGGAAGCCTAGCCAGGCTTGATTCCACGGGACATGGTGGCCATACTCCCGGTGGTAGCACACCAAGTACACCAGGTGCAACCCCAACGACACCCTCAGGTGGGTTTTCAACAGCTCAATCAAGAAGTCGTACGAACAATTCTCAAAGGCAGGATATTAGAAAAGGTACCTTGATATATACCAACAAAATAGATACACCAAACCCTATATATAAATATATATCTATATGATAACCTATATATATATATAGTACCTACACAGTTTTCTTCAAGGAAATAAAAAAATTTATCTGAAACAGCGAAAGAATTTATTAGAATAACAAAAATTTTAATTGCTTCTTTCACTATTCTAGTGAAAACTTTCGCTGTTCCAGATGAAGTTCTTTTAGGTATAAAATTGATACCGTAAATCGGATCAACTAAAATCTAAAAAATGATCCCAATATTTGGATCAATTTGATATACCTACCATATATCGAATCAAAACATTGCATTCCAAAATGATACCATCAATATTTAAGAGTGAAATGATGTATTCTAATAAGCATCATCATTATGAACAAGAGGTGTCGAAATAGAGAAAAAGTTTTAGTATGCGGTATGTGTTTATTTGCATGCGCGCAATTGCATGCTCGTTGGCACTTAACTCACGTCTAAAGCCTCTCACGCAACAAATATCTCGTATATATATACAAATTGAAATATCCCCGAGAGTCTTATGTTTTCTAGTTTACAACTCAAGTATAGCTCTATTATATAATCCTTCAAACAGAAAATATATTCAACTTTTTTTTTTATACAAAGTTAATTTGTAGCTATCAAATTGATACTGAAATGCTTATTAAATTTTTTAGTTGTAACATTTTGATCCGCTTTATGTTATCTTAAATGTTATCATTTACCCTGAATTTTCAAAGGACCCCGCACGTATAAAAGCATTGAATTTCAGGCCCGGTTAAATTTTCTGAAATTAAAATAGTTTATGTACAACATTTACATCACAACAAGAGTTACAACTATATACAGTTACAACAAACATAAAACATTCGGTGAACAAACAGAATTGTTTGATGAACAAAGAAAATTGTTATGGAACAATTAAAATAACAAAACTAAATTGTTAAATCGGCAATACAATTTGTTGTATTAACAAAGCTTTGATCCGTCTAAAACAATTTGTTCAGTTTTTTCGCCTTCTAAAATAATATCAATAGCAGATTTCCGTAGAGTTTATATCACCAGTTTCATTTACATTAAAATCTGTGGAACATGCAGCTTCTGAATCAAATTCTTTGACCTGAAACCAAAAAATTATTTTGAGTTGAAATTTGTTGTTAAATAATATTTAATAAACATTTTGTATTTGTTAAAGTAAGGTTATGTTCAATAGTAACCGAGTATAACTTACCGATAAACGATGAAATTGTCTCTTCATCCATTCACTATAATTCCAATAGATTTCTCACTGTAATCGGATTCATTCTTTAACAGCACTTTGTCATTTTAAAAAAAAAACTAATAATAAAAGCAAAAGTGGCATATGTGCCAGAAGCAAACGACGCGACGATCTGCACGCCAGTTTGCAAGAATTCAAGATGACCACGTGACATGGAACAATAAACCTTTCAGCTGAATAAATCCGGATTGTTCCATCAGCAATCGACACAAAGTTTGCTTCTGTAACTGTATACGGAATTGCAAACTGAACAAATCTGACAACAAAAAATTCGTATTGTTGTTAAAACAACATACATTTGTATTGACAACAATCCGAATTGTAAAATATGAACATTTCGAATTGTAATATCAACAAATCTACTGACAACAATTCGAAAATTGTTTGTACAACAATCCCATTTTTCTCCGTGAGTGTTTTAGGATTTTTTTGTTGACTTATCAAGCAAATGATTACTAATTGAAAATGTATAAAGTCTATTAATGATGTTTCTGATAATATCAACAACCATAAAACAACCACTAAATAATAAATAACGCTTTTGCTCTTAATGTGACGCCGATATGACTTTCCTAAGTCTCGCGCAAGCATAAAAACATTCTGCACATATTTAGTTGATAGTCCTATAATTGGTAAAACTAATAAAAATCCTGAAACACTTAACATGAATTTTATTTTCAAAAAGTCTCCTTTATTTATTTAGGATTATTTTTTCTGGTATAGTGTTGACTATAATTTAATACATCATAAAAAACTACATATCTGTAGTTACCAATTCTTTTTCTTTATGATTTTATGAAAAAACTCAACATCAACTTTTAACTTAAAAAGTGTCTGGTTTATTGGACATTGGTTCTTTAATGATAGCTGATTTAAATCAGAAATACCAAAAAACACTTTCATCACGTTAAGCTGCTAGTCTTATATACTTGATGAAGCTGCGTATAAAAATCCTAAAATACCCAGATTGCAAAATCGTCTCAATTATTAGATAGTTGTTGCACTCAACAATTGCTTATCTATTAATTTTATGGTTGCAGGAATTTCAAAAAAAATCCTCAAATACTTATAGTATGAACTTCACTCCAATAGCGTTGCATTTAATAATGAATGGTTGTTTTATGATAGTTTTTTTTTAACAAAACAAGACTATAAATACCCCACTGCTATATTTCCATTCTTGCAAGACTTACAAAAAAATCCTTAAAATACTCGGAATTAACTGCAAAAGAGTTACATTTATTATTGATTAGTTGTTTCATGGTTGTTGATATTATCAGAAACATCATAAATATACATTATCAATTAGTAATCCTTTGCTTAAAAAGTCAACAAAAAAAATCCTAAAACACTTATTATCATCTGGAATTGTAAAAGCCTCTTGTTTATTTTGTTACCTCTTGCGTTATGGTAGTTGTTTATAATTGAAAACACCATAAAAACACTTTTTCTCTTATTACCTATACTGGTTTTATGTTTGTTCTAACTGTTGTTGTGAAGTAAATGTTGTCATCTAAGAAAGAAACAGACATTTTAATGTAAATGCTGTGTTCTACCCACTTGGAAAGATTCCCCGGAAAATGCCCCCTGGAGGTTGTATCAGAATTCCGCCGGAACTTCCAACGCAATTCCGTCGGAATTCCATCGGAGTTCCAAAGAATTTCCTATGGGATTCCGACGAAATTCTTACGGAATTCCGATTAATTTTTTTTTAAATTTTTAGAGTCCTAATTCCGTCGGAATTCCGTCAGAATTCTATCGCAAATTCTTTGGACGACGGAATTCTGACGGAATTAGGACTCTAAAAATTTTGAAAAAAATTAATCGGAATTCCGTAAGAATTTCGTCGGAAATTCTTTGGAACTCCGATGGAATTCCGAGCCACTTGGAAAGATTCCCCGGCAAGTGCCTCCTGAAGGTTCTATCAGAATTCCGTCGGAACTTTTAACGTAATTCCGTCGGAATTTCATCAGAGTTCCAAAGAATTTCCGATAGAATTCTGACGGAATTCCGACGGAATTAGGACTCTAATTTGAGTGTGGGATCCTTTTTAGGAGTAAATACAAGCAGTCTGATATTATTAATTAATATTGTAATTTTAGTCTCTATTTTGTCTAATGATAAAAAATTGTTGAATAGAATTTTTAGTGGTTTTTTAGGGTCCTTGATTTAAGAATATTGTTTTTTTTGTTTAAAAGTTTCTACCCTAGGTTTGGGCCCTCTTGAGTAATTTATTATTTTCTGTATAAAGTATATTATACATATATTTTTAAACAATTTACACAGGGCAAAAATCCAAGTTTTTTTTCTGTTATATATAGTATATTAAATGGCTATTATGTACAATATAGAAATTCGGTGTAATGGAAATTCTGTCAAATAATAATTCGAACAAATTAATATTCGGCTAAAAGAAAATTCTATCAAATAAAAATTTTAACAACTATAATTTTAATTCATGCGCCTCATCCTATATAATATAATTATATTGTCAACGATTGTCAGTAATTGATTATTATAATAAAAAAAAAAATCAGTAGAATTGTAACAGATGAGGTAAACAAATCTTGTATAAACAACTTTGGAAACATGTATACTTACAATATATAAATATATATAGAATAACGTGTGTTCCACTCCACTTACTGTGGGTTATTACAATCTCTTAAAGTAAACTTGAAAAATAAGGGAACATGTGTACAATCGCAATCAGAAAAAAAAATTATTTTTTTTTTTTTCACACCGATAGCGGTTCTCTTTGATGGAAGCCAATCATTCATTTTGTCTATATACATTAATGTCAATAGACAACAAAACAGATGATGATAATTTTAGATCTATTACTATAATATAAAATAGAATTTTCACAAAAAAAAAAAATAATAATAATAAATGATCATGATATGATAATTGTAATTACAAAAGAGATTTGAAAAATTCTATAAAAATTAATTAAATGATGAAATTATATAACTTTTTTTCTAAATGATTTCCATTTATATACTACTAATTCTAACCCAATGCAATAAAAATACAAATAATAATAATAATAAAGAAAGAATAAAATTACATAAAAATAATTTATCAAATTACAGAATTGTGTGTGTATCTTTGTTATGTAATGACATAATTACCGTGTGTATGTTTAAGGATTTAGTCAAATCTTTATAAAGCGCACATAAGTGCTACGAAATCTCACACACAGGAATCATTAAGATTATTATAAAGATTGTTAATACACATAACGTTGAATGTAAGATTATGCTATAAAAATTTAGAATAATTTTGCAAAATCAAGAAAAATGAACCTTTAATTATTTATTATTTTTTTTTTCTATAGGTGTCCGTGCACCAATAGAAGTGAAACAAGAACTTGGAACTGGTGTTGGTGTCAATGATACGGAAGATAAGGATGGTAAAAAGAATAAACGACAAAGGCGACAGAGGACGCACTTTACATCACAACAATTACAAGAATTGGAAGGAACATTTGCAAGAAATCGGTATCCGGATATGACGTGCAGGGAAGAAATAGCCATGTGGACAAATCTCAGTGAAGCACGTGTCAGGGTGAGTCAACGAAAAAATAAATAACTTTTTCTTTCATTACTTATTGCCGTATTAGACTCATTTTTTTTTTGCCTTGATTCTTTCACGTCTGGATGCAATTTATCTTTTTGAACAATCCGTATATATATATTTATGTCCTTTTCGCGTATATTCGTTATTATTATCTATTTAAAGATATTTTTCTTTATTAAGATTTTCACATTTACATTTCACAATAAATTGTAATAACAATGTTCTAAATTGGGTTTTAAAATTGTTAATAACTCCTTTGTGCCATAGAGGTTGAAGAATTAAAGTCAGGGAGAAAAAACTCAGTTTAGTTCCCTAAATCATCTAGAATTAGGGCTACAAAATTTGTCCTTTTTCCTTAATTCTCTATTTCAGTTTTTTAATTCTCGTAAATTTTCTGATATTGAAAATTTTTTATTTGAATAATTACTCATTATATCCGGAAACATAAACGGATTCGTAGTTTCCATGATGATTTATTTTTCTATCTTGGCAATTGTTATCACTGTTTTCTGGAGGGTATCAAAATGAAACCAAAAATTGGTTCAATCCATGCAACGTTTTGATGCCCACAATTGATATCAAATTGATACCGCAGTTATGTGGATCATTTTGAAAAATGATGTATAAAACGGTCTCATTTTTTAATACTCACAAAAGGTATCAATGTATGTTTAACATGGCCGACGGCTACTTATTCGTAATTTGATGAATTATTTAGACGATAACAGTGCATTTTTGGCTTTTCACATACAATGTTTATTGAAAATCACGTAGGAAATAAAAACAAAATAATTTGTATAAAATAATTTAAAAGCGTAAATAAAACATTATAGTTAAAGCACGATTCACTATCACAGTACATTCATGACTGTCACAAAATATGCTTAAAGGCAAGTTCATTTTTATGGTAATATCGAATAATAATGTTTTTAAAACTAAAATACATTTTTCTCATACAGGTTATTATTAAAATTACTGTCAAGAAAGAAATAGAACAATTTTTGATCTATTAAACTTAAAACTCTTGCAAGCAGTAAAGATTTAGCATTGGTGACGTCATACGTTTAAAAATGCTCTTAGGTTCGTATTGAAGACGCACCATTAAGGCCTAAACACAACTGAGTCGGGTACGCAAGTCGGATACGGGATATGTAAGTTCCCGCAACCGACTTGCGTATCCGATTCAATTAGGCTCTGTCACTTGTGACGTCAGAGTCGATTCTAGGTGTGACGTCAGAGGCCTGGAGGGACAACAAACAGACGACACAATATTATTCTTATGGGGAAGAAAATTTGTTTCCACTTTCATCAATTATTTTATTTATACTTTAAACATGGAAAACGCTTGTTGACATATAATAAAATTAAAATGTGTGTTGATAATTAATTTTGTTATATATTTGATTCAATTGCATTTATAGATTCTCTGAATTCGTGATAAAATAAAAAATTTTGAGGTTAGGGGTGTTTGTTTACTAACTTGAAATATTTTACTGTTGCTGTAATTCCCACTTAAAATATATATTTTATTTCCTACGTGATTTTCAATAAACATATATTGTATGTAAAAAGCCAAAAGTGCACTGTTATCGTCTAAATAATTCATCAAATTACGAGTAAGTACCCGTCGGCCATGTTAAACATACATTGATACCTTTTGTGAGTATCAAAAAATGAGACCGTTTTATACATCATTTTTCAAAATGATCCACAAACAGTGATTTTTATTAAAAATAATTTAAAAGAATACAATTTCAAGTGTTATCCATGTCGTTTCTTTTGTATAACTGTTATTTTCTTTATGTGTAAGTCGAACACTCAAAATGTTCTCGAATAAACTTTGATTTGCTTCGAGTATATATAGCTAACGGAAGCATATCAGTATATATAAAGTCTTTATATTGATTTTAAATTCCAAACGACGATATACAATGCTCACATTCAAGTGTATTAGTTACTAGAACAACACTTTCAAGTTCTTCCTCAACTCCCCAAGTATTTTTCTTCTTGAAACCTAACATGAATTTAATGGCTTAATAAAACTCGCACAGTCAATGGCCTTCATCAAAAATTAAAATTAGGGACAAAATGATTGTATATTATTAGAATCATTATAATGTACTCTTATCATTTTGATGATGATGATTCAATCACAGAAAATCATCAAAGACGCAATTGTTATATATTGACTTTCCTTATATTTTTACAAGAACAAGACATATTTGTATTTCTATATCCTGAATAATTTGATTTGAGTGGGGAAATTTTAGGGATCATTAACACCATTAGCCTAAAGTTTTAATACCTTTTATAGTTATATAATTGAGTTAATTAGATTTACCATATATTTTTATTACAAAGAGAATAAAATTTTGGTTAGGTTTTTTTGTTTGGTTAACTAGGGTTAATCTAACCAGAATCATAAGGTTAAAATGCCCTAACCAGAACTCTAGTTATTGGAATAGAATGATAATCTTAGTAATGATAGAACGGTGCCAAAATTTGGTTTAATATATAAGAAAACACAAAACCTTTTTCTTTGGTTAGTTGCGCGGAAATATAAATCTCACTTTTTTGGTGATCTTTTTGACTCCTTAACTTGATGTGAATATTTCGAGAACTGTCCATAGCAAACTGCCGCCGTCGCTATATGTATATGTAATGGAATCGCGTATAAAGAAAGTCTCTCTCTTTCTCTCTCGCGAGCGAACACACACATATATATTTGTGTGAGCTTGGGTAGTCCGCAAGGGAGGCTTTGCGACGGTAAGCCCTGTGGATTTATTTGAACCACACATATAGTACCACGTTGTTTCCGCCATGGCACTATACGCCATGTACCAAAATGCTGCAGATCCTGCTCCTGCTGCTGGTGGTGTTACTCGTATTCGCAAACTCTACACTGACAGTAGAACGTTCCTCATTCGCAAAACTCTCTATACAAAAATTCCTTTTTTTATGTACTAGGTATAGCCAAAAATCCGTTTCAATTTAAAACCTCGTCATAGCTTACAGAACTATTAGGTTTGTCGCCATAGACTTGGATTACCTCACAATTTTGTTTTCTAAATCAAAAAAAAAGATAATTCCATTCCCAATACCAAGAATGACCATTGAGGCTTATAGATTGAACACCCAGACCGAAATTAGCCTTAATCATCAAACACACTGGTTTAAAATTGGATATATGATCCCAATTGGCATTCGGAGACATCAATCTTGAACCTTCAGGCTAGCACCAAACCCGAGTTGAACCCTATATGTACGTTTCAATCATGTTTTTTCATTTATAAAATAATATAAAAAAGTGTTCTTAAATTACTGTTTAGTTTCCAGTAATTTAAATTCTGAAACAGTAATAACTTTTAGGGGATGAAAATGGAATATTATATATTCTAAATGACAATACATATATTATGAAAATACAGGGATGACATTGTGGAATCTGACTATAATACGAGAATGGACAAAAGTCAACGAATCACATATAATGTCATAGGGGAGAAATCCTCTGGTGTTGCAGTATAGTTATCTGCAAAGAGGCAGGCGTATGTTTCGGTTCGTGGTATAGCAGAGCGCGGGCTGTCCGAGATAATCCGCCGGTGATTAAGACCATAAATCCATCGACGGATTAGTTTGGTTGCACCACATACACACACAGCACTATTCTCTAGTTTACATTATTATTATTATACCTGTTAAATACCTTCCTAAAAATCTTTATTTCACTTTTCCGCTAAAATCATCCAATTCCAAAAAACCATTCCATCTTACAGGGAATGGTTATTTAGAAACCAAATAGAAATTGACGAGAAAAATAAGGTATAGTAATAAGGAAACTAAAATCCTAATATTGTAAAGAATAATTAAACATTGTGAATTGTTGCATTTAGTGTTAATACCTATAGGAGTATTAGTGGTGCTAGCAACTATCGAGCGACGTTGGAAGGGTTTGAAAATTGGAGGTTTGGGGTGGAATATATCTATATAGGTATGAACCGGTATGAGAGTTGAGGATTACTGGTGTCATCCGTATTCGCCGGGTTAGCGGCTGTCAACGGGCAATGCCATCGGTATATATCAATTATTACTGGTTGCAATGCTTGCTGCTGCTGCTGCTGCACAGAGTAGAGTATACCGTCGCAACGCGTATATTATATATCTCTCTGCGTATATCCATGGTCGCCGATTTGCATTTGCCGATGCTCCACTAACTCTACGTCACACCGTTAGCGGCTTAGTTCGCTTAGTGCGCACTACAGTCGGTTCGTACGTTCTCATCCATCCTATATCATGGCTTAAACTTAGAATTTCAAAACCATTCTTTACACATAAATCTGCAATTCAAACTCTGGTTATCCTTTCCCGTTTGGAATATTATGACATTCCTTCCATGTTAGGTACTTGAGAGAATAGCATTATATACACATCGGAGGAGTATACTCATAGGGGGAATATATAATGCATAATTTTAATGGTGTGAGCTTTATGTCCAACATTGCGAGGATGTACTTTCGTATTGCATTTTAGAAGAATCAGTTTGGTTTAAAATTCAAAATTTTGGAATTTATTGTAAAGATTCGAATAAAATTTACTGAGTGGTTTGCAGATTGTACCTTTGGTAATTTGTTTCTGATACAATTTTCATAGTTCACGTTTATTTACTTATAGTGTTTATATGTTCGGATTTATTTTCTATACAGATTTTACTAGGTTTTATTACTTTTAACTATGCTGCATCAATATAAATGTGTATAAATTTTAACGATTGCATCTAAACTGATGATTTTGGCTGAAATTACTTCCATTCGTAATGGTTACATCAGAAATGATAAAAACCGATTCTCATTGGATATCCAAAATAGAAATAAATTTTGAGTACATCTAAAATTACTTCCATTCGTAATGGTTATGTCAGGAATGATAAACACCGATTTTCATTAGACCCTAAGTATATAGAAATAAATTGTGATTACATCTAAAATGAT